TTACACATATCTGAAGGTTAACTTTGGTAATAATACTTTTAAGTTAAAATATCAGACTATTAAATATGGATACCGTACTGTTTACAGTTGGTTACTTGGCAGTTTTTAAACCACATAAACAATTTACTTTATTAAATGAGTGATTCCTTCAGTTATGTTGACATGTTGTACAGGATAAAGTATTCCAGGTTTCTGTTTCCATGGTCTCAGTAAACTAATGTGTATAAAGAATATAACAGATGGGAGGTTACAGTAATCATCATACTATTACTCTGATTACTTTGGTACATTTACTGGGTGTTTCTTCACTAGAAACAACTGCTTGACTAATGTTGTTAATATTATGTAATATATAATATGTTTAACTTCACTGGGCTGTGTAGACTGTAGGTCACTGCTCACTGCTGTACCTGGAAAGACAAGCATAAAACACACTGTTGGTTCTCATAGTTAAGGTATAAACACTAACATTATGTGATAGATAGAGGTTAATATATATATATATTATTAATATAGCAGTATTTACCTGAGGAAAACGTCACTGTTCATTTCTCTGTGATTTCAGGTCAGACTCCTGCTCTAACATGTCCGCTGGTGAAGTTTTTGGTTTAGAAGCAGTTATTGAATTAATATTGACGGTAGAAATGAAGCTAAAGCCAGTAGCAGTAAGGAGCTAACTGCCGGCAACGAAGGGGAGGGGCCGGAGGCGAGTTTACGAATCCTGCTATGGCCACGCCAAGTCCCGCCCTATGCACCTTCAGCACCGCCGACGTTCACCGCGCAGTTTGAAGCAGAAAAAGAAAGAGGAAGACGAAGAAAAAGGAAGAGGAGAAAAAAATACGTTAGCCTCTAATAGCAAATTTTCTTGCTAACATTAGTTCAAAACGTCTAACTACTTATGGGTCGGTTAGATAGCTTACTATTCAAGCTAACGTTGTTGTGTTTGTGTCATACTTTGAATAAGTTGATTCTCAGTGTATATATATTATTCTGGGTCGCTTTTGGGCATCAAAACAACGTTTTTGATAACAACGTTTGATAGCAAATGTTTAATAACTAACGTTAATTACAAACGCAGTGACGTTTGCTAGCAATATGGTTTTGCATAAATGAATTCATTTAGTTAACTTATAGTTTGAGGTATGTTGTTTGCAATTGTTTGCTGCACAGTAATTTATGTGAGTAAATAAACATATTCCTTTTACATCAACTCCCTATTATGCTCATACGTTATATGAAACTTCCCCAGGAGCACTGTTAAAGTATTTAGGAGGAGGCACTGACTCAGCCCAGGGGCAATCCACCTCCTCAGGAGCAGCCAAGGCTGATGAATCAGGTGATCAAACACTGTCACCATATATATTTCATTTCTAGTCAAATGATCTCATTAAGATATACTAATATAAAATATAATCATATGACAAGGGACATGTTTTTCATCTCAGGTCCATCTCTATCCTCTGCTCCATCCACTGTGCCCACTGTCCCCTCTGTGTCTTCTGCAACCTCAGCTGTACGTGGTAAGTTAACAACAAAACAGCCTTTATAATTGCTCAGTGTACTGCAGAAGTTTGCAAATCTGGTGTCTGCTTCCATGGCATTAATCACTGTGGATTACAATCTAACTACAACAAAAAGTTCTCACATTTAGTTTTACAAGTGTATTCATAATGACAGTACAAGTAGAATAAGTAGAATACGTTTATAGTAGGTGTGTGAAGGATCAATAATTATTATTATTGGCGGTAATAGAGGGCCCCAAAATCAAATTTTTCTTAGGGCCTCATGGAGGCTTGGGCCGGCCCTGCTCGGGAGACATCGCTGGGTTGAAGTTACGCAGCCCACAGGACCTTTTCTCTCTACGCAAGAGAATGCTGCTCTCCCCTCTGAGGAGATAGAATGTTGACAATTCGCGGGCATAGGCTTCTACAATTCCCTTAATGGCAAGGCTATGTAGAACAACATGTATCAGCCTTGGCTTACCAATATAATGGTCATATTTGATGCAACAAAGTATGGAGGAAAGTGGGAAATGTCAAAACTTGTTTGATATCAATATAGGCTAGTTTAGGTATCAATATGTAGTTTAGAGTTTAGGTTGTTTCATTAGTGTATGTATATTACAATTTACTCTATACCTTCCTGTCCCATAGAGACTGACAGAGTAGCCTATCTGCAAACTGCACTTGGATAGGTAGCCTAAGGCATGAAAAATCTTTGTTCGATGTTGGAGTGTATTTTTTACAGTCACAATATCACAGTATGACTAACCCACAACCTGCTCCACAGTATTTTTTCATTAGAAAGACCAACATCTATCGTCAGTATGACAGGTAAATGGTGCCATATTTGCCATACACATGGTAATGCAGAGCAGTTGGCAGTGCTTGAGGTTAGGAATAAGTGAATGGTTGAGAGTAATTATTTGCAATACTTTTTAATAACATTGAAGAACAACACTGACTTTGTCCTTGTCCTTACACAGACATTATGAATAACAGAAAGTTTTGCCATTGAGCTACACACACCTTATTTGTGTGATGGAGCCAAGCGGGGATGCAAACAGTTACAGAGCAGAGGTCAAAGTGAGGATGGAGACCAGAGAGGAGGTGGACAAATGGCTGGCGCATTTCCAGACTTCCTCCACCCTAACGTGGAGGAAAGCAAGAACCTATCCTGAGTCAGGGAGGTATAACGCTTACAGAGTAAGTGCAGCATGGAAGGGTCGCATACAGGGACATACAGGGAGACAAAGTGAGGTTCTACATTATGTTTGATTGCAGTACAGAGGGAATACACATGAGTCATGAACAACGGAACCACAAGCAGACTTATTGATTGCTGCATGTATTATACAGGCTGACTTCCGTTGCCAGCACAAGACTTATGGAGCTGGGAAAAACTCCAGGAATACCAACTGCCCTGCCACCCTGTTCCTTGTGCTAAAAAGGAGCACAGATGACAGGAGGTCAAGGTAAATTTAAAAATGAAGCTAACAATTGTAGATATTGTTAGATGTACAGTACTAATTCTGTCTACCATAGATCAACAGATGTGCATATGCAGGAGGGATAGCTCCTTTATGTCAAGCTGCGGCATGAGCACAATCATCGCCTCTCCTGTGCTGATGCCCTCAGCAAGAGGGATGTGTCAGCCATCACCGCAGAGCGGCTGACGGAGTTGTTTAGGCAGGGTCATTCCCCTTCATCTGCCCTGGACACTCTGAAGTATGACCTGCAAGAGGAAGAGGGGGACAACTACTTCCTTTTAGCAGCAGACCGAACTGCCGTTCCAGACGATCGATAAAGGTATGTGCGTACATGTGTGCTGATCATCTTTGTGTCGCAACAGGCTGTTAGTAGTCACAGCAGAATCACCAAGGAGATCAGACCACAGAACCCGAGCTACACACAGCCTATGCCCAGCTGTCCGGCAGTGCTTTAACCAGAAAATACCCAAACTTCGCAAAACATCTGGCAGAGGTGTTTGGGAGACGGAATGAGAGGGCGCTGTGCTTGCGGTCACACCTGCTAACACATGGCCACAATACAAACAACTATGTTGAAAGCGCCATGAGAATCGTCAAGGACAAAGTACTGCACAGGCTGAAGGCCTGTAACCTCACCCAGCTGGTGGACTTCATGGTGACACGGTTAGAGGCCTACTACATCAGGTGCCTCACCGTTTTCACCAACAACCGCATGGGAAGTCTACAGTCAAGGCCTCCCAAGTGCGGTGATGTGGACTGCCATACGAGTAATGTTATGTGTATGTATGTCTGCGGCCCAGTGAGCAATGCACTTTAACTCATGCAGAGAGGATGCACAAATTAATAGGCTCATGCACACCTATTTACTATTGTTTATTATTTTAGTTATTTTAACCATCAATATGTATAGTATCTATACCAGTAAGTATGCTGTACTCTACTCTATTTATACCAGTATGTGTGCTGTACCTAAAAATAGGAGGATGAGAGCAACTTCATGGTGCCCAGTGCATCAAGCAACAGCTGGTACCATGTAAACACCTTAGCAAGTTGCTGCACTTGTCCAGTTGGTGTGACCGGTGCTCCATGCAAGCACCAAAGCGCAGTTATGCAGACATTTAACGTCACAGAGGCAGTCCCTGTAACCACCACATCTCTTCTGAGGCGGCTTTTCCATGGAATCGCCTCTGGTAAGTGACAAGCTGTGTATGCCTCATTCTCACACTAATTCCACTTAATTCCCACAAAAAATGTCTCGAGGTAGATTGACACTGGTGGTACAAGTAGTAGCCAGGTCAACTTTATTGGGACGAGTGCATTCTCACACATGGCTATCCCAGTAAATTCGCTGTGTGCAATAATGAGGTAATCACATTTTGGATTGTGTGTCATTAGATGTAGTCTACACTGACACATGCACCAACAACAACAAATGTGTGCTTTCCACTCAGGGGGTAGCACTCCAGAGGACTGGTTTGAGACACTGGCTTATGAAAAGGCTGTGGTGGGTGAGTACAAACATTTAATTCAACACTGCAAAAACTGATATCTAGCCAAGTGTTATAATCTTATATTGACATAAAAAGATCTAGTTGGTATTGTTTTTAGTATAAAGATACTTATTTTAAGTCAAATAATTGTATGAGAAAGCTCAAAGTAGGTATATTTACTCTAAAAACAATACCAACTAGATCTTTTTATCTTAATATAAGATTATAACACTTGGTTAGATATCAGTTTTTGCAGTGAAGCTGTAGTGGCATTTAAGGCTATGGCTGTGATAGTCATTGCAGCTCAAATACTCAACTTCCATTTCTTTTTCTCAAATAAGAAGAAGATGGGTGCTGTGGGTGCGATGATGGAGATTCAGCTGGACCAGCTCCAAAGACCATCTCAGTAATAACGGTGTTGCAGTAAGATAATGATGTGTGTTACACTGGAGAAATGCTAGATATGTGCAGCATGTAAGTCAGGTCGAAAGATTTAGAATTATTTATGTATTTACATACAGACGACCCCCAGTCCCATCTAGCTGAGGAAGCAGGAGCAAGTAAGTTCACCCTCCAAAACCTCATAATAAACCACTTGTCTTCACACTGACACAGGCAGCATTTAATTTGATTGTTAATTTAAGTTAAAGTGTACTAGCTTTTAGTACACTTTAATCTCCCCCATGGTTTCATTTCTTAAGTCCATTCTTATTTTCATCTAAATATTCTTTGCTACTTATTTTATTTCATTAGTAACAGTATAATCACAACCACCTTTTATTTCCCCCTTCACTTTTGAGTTCTTTCTTTGATCTTTATTTTTTTGTTAATATATATGTGTGTGTGTGTGTGTGTGTGTGTGTGTTTTTATTATTATCACCACTGCTTTATTATTATTCTATGTACTCTTTATTTTATTTCTTATGCAGGCATTTTGTATTCTGTATTGTCTTATTTGGTATTTTGCTATTTTCATATGTAATCATTTGTAAAGCACTTTGGGTCAACTGTTGCGTAAAATGTGCTATATAAATAAATTGACTTGATTGCTATTCGATTTGTCTAGGCACATCAGAGGAAGTTGAGGAGACAGCATTCCTGGAGAAGCAGCTTGAAGACATTGTTGGGCTCCTGAAGCGCAAGCTGCGTGAGGATACAACCTTCACTGCTCCAGTGAAATCCTTTGTGGACACATTTGGGAAGCTCCACACTGACAGTGCTGTACAGTCAGCATTGTTTTCCTTCGGGAAAAACGATCGAGGGCAGTCTAGTGTTCGTGCAAGGCCGAGGGGCTTCCTTCAAACGAGTGCCACTATAGGTGTCCAACCGACAGCGGTGTCCCGGAGAAAGGCAGCTTTGGGTGGTAGGAGAACCCTTGGAGCTGGCAGACCCCCAAAGAGCTCCAGAAAGGAACATGGGTACTCCAGACAAGGCAGACCAAAGGGTGTACCACACAACCTCTGAGCGCCCCTCACACCACACTCCTTTCCCCAGTATACATAAAAGTTCTCTTAATCAGTTATTGATCAATTCTTTCTCAATCAGTTCATTTTGTTTCATTTCGATCAGCTCAATCAGTTCATGGTTCTATTGTTCATTTTTACAAATCTATACAAAACCTATTGTATGTAGTTTTCTGCAAACCTATATAGGGGGTTAAAGGTTAAGGCTGCCAGTCTTCCGGTCGTTGTGTTCCTTAAACGTCTGTATATAAATTCATACAATCACAACAAATACTAAAAACATACTAAGGCGAACCGCTTAGAGTCAACGGGGCCTAAGCATTTGTAATAATTGTATTATTATTATTATTATTATTATTATTTTCTTTTCTATTATTGTGTTAAATGTTCCAAATGTAAAGCACTTTGAGCTGCATTCTGTGTATGAAAGGTGCTATACAAATAAAGCTTATTATTACTAAGAATTCAACTGTAGTCAATCAACACTAATGGCAGGGGAATGTGTCAAAGACGACATTTTCACTCCTGTTTCGTTTAATGTATGCATGTATTCAACATAACTTAACCCAATAGCTACAATACAGGCTATGTATAGGACATGTATACTGTAGGAATTCTGTCATCAAGATTATGGTCATTCTGAGAGTGGTTATTAGGCTACTGATAGTCTGTTCACGCAGTATGGCATGGATTATGATATTACATTTAGTGCTAAAAGCATGATTGTCAGAAGTGAAAAGAATAAGAAACGTATATTCCTTGGTTTTATTTATGCAAGTTCTCACTCAAAGTAAAATGTAGCCTATTTGTAAAATTTCTAATGATGAAATGAGTGATGACCGATAAGCCTGCCTTTGATTTGTGTGTTTCCTAACCCTAGGAATAAAGATTGAATTGAATCCAAGAGATGTTAGGCCTTACTATCCAAAGAAAGGTGTGCACATGACTGTGATGCTCCCATAAAAGTTTATTGTGGAGTTGTGTCACAATGTCCCCACAAATTCAGTCGCATTTTAACGATAACAACAACGAACAGTCAATATAACAACAACAAACAGTCAATATAACAACAACGATAGCGATACGCGGAACGGCAGCGTACGAGTACACAAATAATTTGTTTCGCCGTACCAGCACACGCGAGAGCGTAGCGTACATCCTCATTGAGCTCAGCCAATCAGAGGTAGCCAGAGGGGCGGGACTTGGCGTGGCCATAGTAGGATTCGTAAATTCGCGGCCAGAGCATCATCCGCATGAGCCGCGTCATAATGCCGACCAATCGAGCAGACTGGGCTTTTCGGGAGGGGGGTCTTAAGGAGACAGGAGCTAAAACCGAGCGATTCAGACAGAGGCTGAAAAGAGCTCAGCTGTAGGCAGTATGAGAAAAATAATGTGTTTTTTGAACATTAAAACATCTAAACCTATTGTAGGAGAGCCACAAAATACAATTATGAACCTGAAAAGGGGCATAATATGACTCCTTTAAAGGGACACTTCACCCATTTGCATTAAGCTTTGTATCATTAGAACCCCAGTCATATTTTTGAATGGTCGTGCATCATTCCCTCACTTCCCCTGAGAGGGGAGAAATATAACCGCCATCTTGTTTGGAAGCTAAGCGGAGGCGCTGACGAGCCAGACGTTACGACTATGGTAATCAATCTAATATGGAAGAAATTTCGAAAGTAGTTGGTTGAATCAGATGTTCGTGGCTACCTTTATGAGCCACAATATAGCGAAGAGCAGCTGAGGCTGAACAGGAGGCGGCTGAGGCTTCTGCAGCCGAGGCAGAGGACCTGCCCGTCGCGGACGAAGAGCCCGGACTGGCTCGAGCTGGGGCGGACTGCTGGTGCCTGTGCTCTCGCTGTGCGCCTACGGACACACGGACGTCTGACTGTAAAGTGAGTGTTTCTATTTTCTGTCTTATAACAACGTGGCACGTATGTACACAATTTGTTCAAGTATTATCACAAAGTTATTAATACGTAACGTCAGCCAACTGAACTAACGTTAGCTTCTTTACTGCACAAACAGCTTGCAGTTGCATTGCTAACTACTGTGGCACGCTAAACACAAAGACCATGCATCGCTAACTGTGTGCTCAATGTCTTGTAGACAATATCGCTAACAGCCTTTCTGGAATGGGTCCTGCAAGGCGAGAGATTGGGTCGAGGCCATCGTGTCGTTTTACCCGCTGATGTGGTGCAGGCTATCCGACAGAAATATCCAGCTCCAGATGGCCAGTACTGCGGCACCGAGGAGTTGAGGACGCTCAGGAGGAACTATAACTGTCATTGTTAACATATTTATTTTTGTTGTTGTTGATATATTTCTATACATAAATGGTTTACATTCATGTTGTTGTAGTCCTTGATAGTGTTAGTGGGAGTGGCTTGTGGAGCTGTGCATTGTGGGAGTTGTTGTCTTTAATACAAATGCGCCCTAAAGTCACTTTCTGTCTTTTCTCGGTCAAATTGGCACCAAATTCAAAATGTATGTTAAATTTCAACTACATATATAACCCACTTTCAATAAATATTAATGTTTCCACGGGTGAAATGCTCCTTTAAAGCACTAGAACTAAAGCAACCTGTAATGCAAATGCTGGCCTGTGAGTAATTGTTATCTTACCTGTGATGGATTTGGGTTGGGTCTCTCAGCCCCTGGTCCTTGCATGGTCTGGTGCTCTCCTATATTAACCACATCGTCCTCAGCAGCTGATCCATTCTGAAGTTGGTACAAGTGTGTGGGAAGTTAGTCACTGAATCTAGTGTTATTTTGATATTGAGTGTGATCTTAAAGCACTAGAAGTAAAGCAACCTGCTCCAACTATTACACTCTGAAATTTGAACAATGTGTGTAGCTAGTTTGTTACGTTGTAGGAGTCAGTTCCTCTAAATACGAAATACCAATAAACTAACATAGTGAACAAATGTGTATTACCTGTGTCCTGACCTGCATGTTTTTCAATTCTGCACACTATTGTCACTAACCTATAGGTTACTACTACTAGATATGTTGTTGTACTACACTCCACCCCATATTGTATTACACACACACATACATCCTGAACATTTTGGTGTATGATTTATGTGAATATCATACATTGTTCCAAGACTGAATGTTTTGTTATTACTGGACATAAGTTTCCACAGACATACACAAAGAAGAAATGGGTAGTTACAGTTCATTACATTAGTCTATACACTGGCCCACAGGCCTACTGCTGTCTACACGAAACCATCCAAATTTAAGCATTGCAACAATGGTTGCTCACATTGTTCCAGTCAAAAACTAAAGAGTAGACAATAGGCTATAATGAATGAATTATGCATTGTCAGTGTCCTGACCTTACTGTCAGCACTCTTCCGTTTTCCTGCTGTTGACTGCAGTGGTGCATCATGGTGAGCTGGAGGCTGTAAGCAACAACAATTATCACCATCCATGTCAGTGTACTGCAGAAAATAAAATCTAACCAAGTGTTATTAAGATAAAAACATCTATTTGGTATTGATTTTAGTATGAAGAGACTTACCTGGCTCTCTTGAAAGATCATTTTGGCTAACTTTAAGAGGACTTATTTGAAGGAGTCTTATCAAGACCAATTTGCTCAACGCACTACGAGACAAAATTACTTGTTTTTAGGACAAATTTGCTTAACGCACTGGCAGACAAATTCACTTGTTTTCAGGATGAGACGTCTTAAGTCAAACTGTAGATTACGTCAAATGATTTTACGAGAAAGGGTTAGGTAAGTCTCTTTATACTGAAAACAATACCAACTACTTTTTTGATCTTGATATAAGATTAATAAGGCTTTTTTATGTTTATTTGATAAGCAGTTTTTGCAGTGTGTCAAAGCAATTTGGCTGAAATGTTCATCACACCTTGTGATCCATGCAATAGACAATATCATAAGCATAAAAAAATACTTATCATCATCATAGGCTAGCTTACTTCTCTGTCATGACGTTCTAAAATTCTGTCAGGGACTTCAACGCCAGTGCTGTAAAGGTACTGCTTGTACCGTCTTCTGCCTTTTCCCTGAAACAAAAGACAATTTCAAGACAGTATAGATAGCCTGTAAGATGGTGAAGCTAGCCTATACTTGCCTACTAGTTATCATGAATATCTGGTAGCTTTCTCCATTTCTCAGCCTGCTACTTGTTATTATCCTATATCATGCCTAATATTTATTATTAATAACATTACTACTACTTCTGTTCTTCTTCTTCTTCTTCTTCTTATTATTATTATTATGGTAGATGTAGTAGGACAACTACTAGGCTACCATAATAATAATAATATTAATAGGCCTGATAATAATAATAACAAAAACATATCAATAATTCAAAACAATTATACCACTTATAATTACCTTCATGTGTCTGTATTCTGTTGTCCTTGGTATTTTCTTGTTATTAACCAATAAGTAGGACTTGTACTTGGATTGTACAGGTGGCGTATTTGAAAAATTATTGTTGAGCAGTGCAACAGATCAAGATTCAAGACTAAGCAGTAGATGGCTATGAATGGACCCAGGAATTGGACCTACCCACCGGTCGGTTCCCACATCCAATCAGTGTGCGCAGCATCATCGACATCCAATCACTATGTAGAAGTTTGGGCGGCAATTAGTTACACTGCCACACAAGGATGACATTTTGATTTCAGAGGTAGGGGGACACAAGTATTTTTAATAAAACACTAACTCTTTGAGTTCACTGTGTTTTCTAGTAGTTCTTCTAGTTTTCTATTGCTACTTTTAAGTTTACTGTTCCCTTTTTTGGTTTGACTGGTTGTAAAGCATGTAGCAAAACATTATCACCCAATTCTGTGTTTCACCTTGTTAGTCAACTTCACTCCAACTCAGTACCACCAATTTTACACTTCTTTTTGGAATATATGGTAAACAGACCTCATTTACATAGCGGATATGCTGCTTTATTGGGAGCCAGTGAAGGTGTTGCAGGATGGGTGTAACGCATTTCTTTGAGTAACTTACACTTTGACTTCTAAGGAAGTCTCTTATGTCCACTTTTCCTTTTTTAGACATCCTGGCTGCGCCTAATTACCAAACACACATACACACATATACATACACACACACACACACATGGACACACACACATAAACACACACACACACACACACACACACACACACACACACACACACACACACACACACACACACACACACACACACACACACACACACACACACACACACACATACACACACACAACACCACACACACACACACACACACCACAACACAACAACAACCACACACACACTCACCACACACCCCCCCACACCACACCACACACACACACACACACACACACACACACACACACACACACACACACACACACACACACACACACACGCACATACACACATGGACACCGATTCAAACGTGAATGTAAATGAAACCTCTGATGTTACCTGGGCAACTCCAGCAGACCGGTGTGCAAGCAAGATGGAGTGACAGCGGGGACGGCCAATCACACAACAAACGGCAGAGCCAATCGAGGAGCTTGTGGGCGGGTCTAAACTCAGGGAAACAGGCTTCAGCTGAGCGCCCGTTTTCCGCTTGGTCCTAGTGCGTGACGAGTCTCTGTTTACTATAACGTAACATTGTTTTTGGACGGTACAAACTGCAGGGGACCGAAACCATAGACCTATATATATGAATATATATACATCCTTGGTATATCCATATATATATATATGGATATATGTCTATGACCAAAACGGCCTTTTGAAAAAGTGCAGGGGACATGTCCCCTGTGTCCCCCCCCAAATTACGTCCGTGCTGCCACAACGTATCCAAATACATTGACAGTTATTATTTGAAATTCATCACTGATACTCGGTAACAGGGTAACTTAACTTTAGCACAATGTACGGGTTGTTTTACTTCGTAGATGGGTCCGTTATTACAGATAGTACATCTATTATACAGGATGCATATAGAAATGTAACGTTAGGTATTAGTCACCTGCAAGGAAGACCTCCAGTCCAAGCATGGCTGGATAGAGGCGATATTACGGAAGCCGGTCGCAGCCAAACTCCTGTTCTTGGTGGGTAAGTTCTAAAACAATGGAAATATTCTGAAATACTCTTTGTAACTTAACAGAAATGCAACACGGCTTTCCAAATGTAAACACTGTCTGTGCAAAATAAGAGAACAACTTCAACTTTCATTGTATTAATACTGAAAAGAGCGCGAACGCTAATCGCTAGCTAAGCCTAGCTTTGGTTAATGTGTTTAATTGTATTATGCACCTGAAGGAGTGCTAATGTAAATTGTGAGCCAAATGTTAGTTTGGTTAAGGAACAAGACTGATGAAAGTAATAAAATACAAATAAATGAAATGACAGTGACATTCCTGTCTTGAAATTAATAAAAGGTCACATGGAATTTGTATTTTATTTGTTTCCTGTTAAGTTAATTGTGAACAGTAATGTTTGAAACAAGTCATTGAAAGTTGTTGCATTTAGAATGAACTCTGTCTATGAAGTCATTCAAAGCAAATATTGGGTCTTCACAGAAAACTACAAAGAAGTGGTCGAGAAGCGTGTTGCTTTCCTCCAGGGGGAGGATGTATGGTCTTCCTTTGGAGAAGGGGATGATGAAGGAAGGAATGAGCGTAAGCTTGATTTATGACTTAAGAGTAATGGAGCATTGTGATTCCACTTTACAAATAATAATGCTGTGGCATCGTAGAATGTGTTTGCCATGGGAGTTACATTTTTGCAGACTTTTCCAAGCTGGGTGCACAAGCATTTAGCAGCTTTAGTCAGCAAATCTAAATTTCAAATGATAAATATTACTTAAAAGACTGTGAAACAAATCAAGTTAGCTTTTTTGTAATGCCATGCATGTTAAGTCAAGATTAAGTCTCCTGTTACAAATACTATCAGAGTGATGGATGGTTGGATTGGAGGTGGATTCTTGGAAAGTGTGGTGTAGTTGCTATATGAAGAAATGCACTATTAAAGCTATTAAAAAAGGAGTCTCTACAGTTACTTAAAGGAGAAATCCGGCGAGTTTTCACATACATCTCTGCCTGGCTGCGTTAGCTGCTGGTTGTAGCAACTCGAGCTAGGTAAAACTGATTGTTTTCATTTTGTTTTGTACCGACAGAACTCGGTGACCTCGAGAAACGGAGATCTTTGTGAAAACTCGCTGGATTTCCCCTTTAAAGTCTGCTGGTTTGTGTGGGAATGTTCAAAATCATTCTCTTAAACAAGATGTACGTTGTCAGTCTGGTTCACAGATGGCCAAGATGGATGAGGTGCTGAAGAGGGACCTCAAACGGCAACGTACAGCACAAGTCGAGTCTGATTCCGACGACACGTGTTGCGACATGTTTGATCAACCCAAAAAACGTAAACCGGTAACCACCTTCATCAAATAATGTGTAGTGTTCCCCAGAGAATTGTCAGAGTTTACACTGGTGGATGATAGCCTATTGGTGCTGACATGCATATAATAGTGCACTTTGCGCTTGCATTGAATTATGTCCCAATATCAAAGTCCAAACCCAACCTACAAACCTATGCCCTTTGTGCTCAGGGTAAAGCTTTATGTGATATAGCAAAACTGCATTTTTGTGAAAATGAGTTACTATTCAAGACTGTATGAACTCTGTTGATTTATACGCATACACTCACACCATGGAAATTGTGTTTTGGCGTGTGTATGATTAGGAGTCTATAGCTGCCCTTTTTGTTTAAGGTAATTAGGTTGATGTTTTCTGCATAGGTGGTTGTGACCAGTGACGAGGAGGACGCCATCCCTCAGGTGGAGTCTCAGCGGCCAGGGGAAGTGCCAGGGGAAGTGCCTGCTGTTTTTTCTGAGATGGACGAGGACACATTAAGGGCTCTGAAAGGTGGGTGGGTGCATAGGTATGCTAGTGATGCCAGGGTTATCTCTGCCACCACCTGAACCCTCCCATACACCTGCAGCCATTGTCAATGAGGTCATGAAGTGAATTCAAGACATGCACCCCATTGTTAATTTGAAGAACATACATGTTACGTGTAATGTCTTAGAATACAGACCCGACTTCCCACATATTACATATTGGAAAATAATCCACGGCCATTTTTGCCATCATTGTCTACCGTTAATACTCCTTGTTTGAGTTTCACTGATTGAACAATATGGCACAAGTGACAGTGGGGTTGGTACAGATATAACCACGAGGCCTCTGGCAGACTGGCGCAGGTAACCACAGCTGTGGGTATCTGTACCAATACCATGACCACAAGTGCCATATTGCTTTTATACATCAGTTCCACTTCCATCACGTTTAAGATATCAAATTGTGTTTTCAATCATTTATGTAGATTTATTTATTTATTTATTTCATCCACTCCAAGAAATAGTTCTAATCTTCCATCTCTGTTGCCAAGCATCGCAATATATCAATCAAGAGAAGGGTCCAGTGAGACAGGCTATATGGTCTTATTCACACAAGAATGTGTAGCAGTTGCTTGTAGGGTTCCCACAGGTCATGGAATTTTTGGAATATCATGGATTTTCAGGAAAGGTCAGGGAATGATCATTTTTGGGGCAAAGTCATGGAATGCTGGGGAATTTTGTTTTAGCAGTTTAAAATGTATTATTAATACAAATATACTGTATTTCCACACAAAATCAATGTATATCTGGCTATTAGCTTTACTGCTTGCTTGAGTAGTTGTGGTTAACCCAACTTCAATTCAAATTCAATGCCCATTTATTCATCTCCCACTCTAAAAAGTAAAATATGCTTGAACGCTATGAGGCTACTCTGAAATCACTGGTCAGTTTATTGTACCATTCATAGTAGGTCATGGAAGTTCATTTTTTTGTCTGGGGAACTCAAGTCATGGAATTTTACATTTGACTTAACATGGGAACCCTGTGCTTCTCTATACTTCACATGCTATACTAAACATTTGCCCTACTCCATCTTCTCACTCAATAATGGCTTTGAGTGAGTGGAACATTCATGTCAGACATGCATGCTAGCGGTGAAAAGTATGAGTAATGATCCTCATCCAATCAGAAAAAAATGACAGTTAAATCAGATCTAGCGCTTGTGAAATGACATTCATATATGTGCTATTTTCTGTCACAATGTGATACTTATTCTTTGTGTCATAATGTGATACTGTGTCCTTGTTTTAGGGCTGCCAGGACTGGTGTCTTCACTCAAAACCGTCCTAAACAAATGGCAGATTCACCTTCTTCCATGAATTCCAGCCAAAGCGACTCACCATGCACTGGCAGTGACACTGGCAGTGAAGACATGGTATGACTGAAGGATCTTGCATGTTCACCAATTCATGCAAATTCAGGGATTTTGCTGCATTTGCGGGTTGTAATATTCAATAAATGCGAAATCATACACTGCAGAAACTACTGCTATTTTTGCAAAATCTTTGTTATGATTGAGTGCAATAAGCATAAAAAAAAAATCTTACAAGATCCTGGAATTACTAACTAAAACACTTGAAGCCAAGACACGTGCCATCCTGCCCTTTAGGGAAGTGTTTGTAATGTACCTTTTGTCTTAATCTGCTTGTGTGTTTTCACAGATGTCATTGAGCAACTCATCAGTGCAAGTCCCAAAACGTCTCTATCAGAGGCTGAGTGGGAGGAGGATGTCCCTCTTTACACAGGAACTGGCCACATTGGTGTTTGGAAGGGAAACTTTGGCCAAGGCAATCCTCACAGGGAAAGGGAAAAAAGGCGAGCTGAAGGAGCAGCTTGAGCCAGAAAAAACCAACGCAATTATAGGTACAGTAGTGTCATAATTATGAATACACAATCATTGTGATGATTAATTGACAAATCCATTATCATCAATGATTGTATTTCAATGTTATACATTGTCTATCTTGTATTAATTCATGCCCATGTTTCTTTCCTGTTTTCACAGATGCAGTGAGGGAGCGATTCCCCAACACAGAGGTGACCGAGATCCGGGCCCTTCTACGGAGGAAGTGCAACAATGAGAGCTACAAGGCCTTATCTCATAATCAGAGTAAGATGTTGTTCGTTGAAGTTAAAGGCTGTTTGCTGGTGCTGTGCAATATCTGCTTTTGCATTAGTGTATCATCTTTCTTGTGAGTGTGTTTGTGTTGTTTTCTCCTCTGTGTCAGTTCTAGTTCTTCTTCAGATCGATGGCACAGAATGGTGATGTGTAATTATGTTCCTGTTATTGTGTTATTACCATTATATGTCCTTTACTTGAATTATGTATTTTAGTTTGAAGTGTAATAAAGTTCCTTTTCTGAAATGCAATTTGTAATCTGTTGATGTAATGCACTTGAAATGTATTGAAATATAATACACTTGTAGTATAATAGCAACATTTATTCTTAAGTTTAACAAACACAATTGTTTTCAAGAAAACACTATAATAACGTCACACTTAAAGTATGTGTCTATGATGTTTAGGTTGTTATTGAACTTCACTTTAAATACATTATCATTGTCATAGTGGGACACTTTAAAAGCACTAAATATAGTAAGGAAGTGTATTTGTAGATCACTTGAAATATTAAAGAGGCATACTAAATTAACATAGTTTATAGTAATAATAATTATGATAACAGTGTACAAAATATACTGAAACACAACTGTAAGTTGAGCTGCAATGCCTTTTTAAAGTCGCCAACATAACATAACATAACAGCGTATTAATACAATGGTTTATTTATCAACAATTTCCTACAGTGTAAATGTAAATCAAAATAGTAAAACTATATTATTCCATTTTATTTTTTAGTTGAGGAACCTGAGGGAGCCAAAAGAAAAAGGGATGAGTTCAGCGAGTGGGAGGATTATGGTGAAGAAGATGGCGAGAAAGACGAGGTTCGGGGCTACATTGACAGCCAGTTCTTGTGGGATGGGGATGATCTTCTACGTTTCTGGGAGTCGCAGTCAAAGGCCTTCCCTCTGCTTGCCAAGGTGGCAAGGATGATTCTCTGCATCCCAGCAACAAGTGCATTGAGCGGACGTTCAGCTCAGCCGGCCGGGTGCTCGAGTCCAGGCGAAACAGACTCAACCCCGGCACAGTTGATACCATTCTTTTTTTGCACAGTGCCGCATGTTAAATGCCAATGCCTTCATGAAAATAGCCATATGTGGTACAGTTTATAATTCTATTATGTGCTATAAGAAACCTTTAGAAAACAGGTGTAGCCTGTAGGTAGACGCTCTGTTTTAGCCTATGTAGTTAATATGTTCATTTATTCTTTTTATTGCAAATAATACCTACAAAAATGCAAGCCTAAATTTAGTTTAATTTATGATTTATTTATTGTTTATTTTGATACATTAATATATTTATTATTATAAAGATTTGAATTTGTTGTTGCCAGTTCCCAGTGCCCCTCGAAGGGCTGTTTTCAAGCACATTTGTCAGACCAAATGAAAGTCTTATTCAATGACATATTTAACGTGTCTTTAACCCTCTGTCGCATAGCGGTCACTACAGTGGACAGCTGTTTAAAAGTCATCTTCTCCAAAATGCAATAGTTTCTATGGTGGAATTGCATATCAGCCGTTAGAATGCTCTCTGCTGCCCCCCTCCATTGAGGTTTATTCAGTGGTTAGTTGTTGTAACTACAAGTGAACCTCCTCTGAATCCAAGATGGCCGACAGACAGCCACACCTGTTGACCACTGCTGGAATATCCTGTCAATCCTTTTATACCAGGAGAACCCTAGAGGTAAAACAAAATACAATGGTATGCAGGAATATCTAAGGAACAATATTATTCTTTTAGTTTTGAACATTTTATTTCAAATAAGTAGTAAATTGTGATTAACCATGTGTCCAATGAAGTGGACATCATGCACAAAAGTATATTTCCAACACAAGTCATGTGGTTGATTCATCTTTTATTATGACTATCTTGGTTGTAATTCAGTGCATTTTGGGTATATTTATGTTAGTTTTTAAAAAATTATACATTTTTGTGCAGATTAGTTGTAGTTTGTGTTTGTAAAAATGATCATTTTGTCATATTTTTAGACCACAAGTGCAGCAAAGAATAGGGAAGACTATAGAATAGTCCAGGAAATCAACACATGGGTGGGGTGGATCTTGTTGACCAGTGTGTGGCAATGTATCCCCACAGACGTAGAAACAAGCGGTGGTATATCCAAGTGTTTTTTCATTTTTTGGATGTGACCGTTGTTAATGCCTGGTTCCTCTACCTGATGTCTGGATTGGAAAAGATGAATCTCCTCATCTTCAAAGCTTCTGTAGCCCATGCACTGATAAATGCTGGCTCCCTCCAGCAAAGCAGAAGAGGAAGACCCAGTGGGACCCCACCTCCAGCAAAGCGCAGAACAGTGACCAAAGTACCCAGTGAGGTTCAGCACAGGAAATCACTGGCCCAAGCTCACCCAGGTCAAAAATGCAAACAGATGCCACGTTGCTGCATGTACACGGGAGACCAAATACATCTGCATGCAGTGCTGTGTGGCACTGTGCCCTGGACGCTTTGCCAACTTTCATATAGCCTAGGATTGATGAACTGAGCATATACTGAGGTTTATTTGAAAAAAAAAGAAATTTCAGCCCACTATGTAAGTGTTAATGTGCAATAACGTTGCATGAGTGAACGTGTTTAAAAAATAAGTTGAAAAACAAAAATATGTTTAAATGCATTCTAAATATGTTTAAAAACACACAAAGGTGTAAAATGTGTTTTAAAAATGTTTAATAGCGGTGGGGCGGGTTTTGAAAATAGATGCAGTTGTGCGGGCGGGATGGAGCGGGTCAAATTAGTTCCAACTAGTGTGCGGACACAGGGGAGTCTTTGTCCCGATTTGCGGGACCCGCGGGTTGGAAAAGACCCCGACCCGCGCATCACGAGTTCCAACTAGTGTGCGAACACAGGGGAGTCTTTGCCCCGATTGGGGACTACACAGACTCGTGCCATTAAAAAACACTTGGAACGCAACAAGCTCGAGCTGAGCTATAAGGAAACCACTAAGGTTGAGCAGAAGCTAACCTGCCTAATAGCTAGGGTTAAAGAATTCCTTACCTTCTACCTTCCCTACATCTTTTCTATACCTCCTCCTTTCCCCATATCTTCTCCCTTTTTCCTCCTTTCCCCACATCTTTTCCCGACCTCCTTTCCTCCTTTTCCTGCACCTCTTCTTTTCTCCCTTTTTTTCAATCTCGTTAATCGTCTTCTATAACCTTTTTTGAGGACACCAAAAAAGGGTAGGTTTGCACTGGTGCCTCACAGTCAGGTTCTGATTCAGGCCAGACCTTTCTGTTTGGAGTTCAAATATTCTCCCCATGTTTGTGTGGGTTTACTCCGGATGCTCCGGTTTCCTCCGGAAATTTGGAGTAAAAGTAATTCTCGCTATATCCCCTTTCCGGTTCCGGTTTATCTTTTCCTTACCCCACATCTTGTCCCTACATCATCTTTCCCCAAATCTTTTCCCTACCTTCTCCTTTCCCCAAATCTTTGCCTAACCTTCTCCTTTCCCCACGTTTTTTCTTTACATCCTATTTCCCCACATCTTGTCCCAACATACTCTTTTACCAACATCTTTTTCCTGCACCTTTTCGTCTGATGTTAAACTCAGAAAACTTGTACTTGGCCCCAAAAACCTTGGAGACTCACTGTCTAAAGATGTAGTTAGTCTTGATCAGCGGGGGGCGCCAGAGGACTTCAGGGGAGGCGTGTGGCGTGAGAAAAAAATACACCGGGAAAAAAAGGGTATCATAATGGATTAGTACCTCAGGTGAAAATGAGAGTGGACACGGAGGCGAGCAGAAAACGGAGGAAGTATGACCCTGATTATTTAAGGTTTGGTTTTTCATTCATTGGTCCTGATGATGCTCCGCTGCCACAGTGTGTCATTTGCAACGAGGTGCTAGCTAACGACAGTATGCGACCATGTAAACTCCGACGCCGGATTTGCAATCGGTTTATTATTATATTAAGGATTTACGCACAAGGGGAGATCAGCAGTGTTTCAGCCCACTATGTAAGTGTTAATGTGGAATAATGTTGGATGAGTGCACGTGTTTAAAAAATCAGTTGAAAAGTTAAATTGTGTGGGGTTTTTTTAAGTGAAGATGTTTTTTTAACGAAAATATGTTTAAATGCATTCAACTGAACCCTCTGCAGCTCAATGTGACAAAGACAAAGGAGCTCATAGTAGATCTGAGGAGGGCGAAATCACCTGTGACCCCTGTTTCCATCCAGGGGGTCCCTGTGGACACTGTGGAGGAATATTAGGAAAAGTACCTGGGGGTGTACTTAAATAATAAGTTGGACTGGACCACACAGCAAATTCAGAAGTGTTAAATTTTCAGTGTTAGTGAAATTTGAGCAAAAGTAGAGTTAATTCTACTCTGATAGAGTTCAATCCACTATATTTGACTTCAGTTGATAAGTAGTTGGTGTCAAAACCAAGTGTAAAAACAAAGTGTCACTAAATTAAACCTGTAAGTGTAATTTTATAAAATATTGACTCTGAACTTCTCACTCTAAACTCCGATCCTGGGTTTTACACTTGAAGTGTTCATGTGACCCTGCCCCCACTGCATACACACACGTGATTGGCTGAAGCCAGAAGATCTGTGAGCGCTCCACCGACTGCTGCACGAGGGATTTTGCGAATGACCTGCGTTTGGTAAGTAAATTAAGTATTATCGGTTAATGTTATATTTTATATTTATTTGCCTTCTGGTACCCGTTTTGCAATGGTAAACCAGTGTAATTTTAATTCATGTCGACCCACTCTTACTAGAGACCCTATCACTCGTGGTTAGCTAATCTCGCTTTCAATTTTTTACAGTATTTACTGTCAAAAAACAGTCTCGTAGTTTTTTTCTGAGAAAAATTAATACCAGTAAATACTAACTTAGTAGTCAAAAGGTGGTCAAAATAACTTTTAATGATGCACTTAGCTCTAGCTGTTAGGAGTTGTTAGCTAGCGTGCTACAGAGGAGCTACAGTTTGATTGCTGCTGGCCAGCTGGATGTTAGCTAAAAGTCAGTGTTTAAAAATTGCTGACAATTAAGTTACTGGCTCATTGTTAACAATATCTGAGCTAAACCTTTCTTTAAAGTCGATATTGTTTGTGTTTTAAGTAATATTGATATATTACCTGCTTTGTTTGTGTTTTTTGTGTTGTTCACATACATTTTTGTTAAGAGTTAAGTATTATTTTTTGTGGCATCTTAAACCTTTAGATTCTCTCAATGACATAAATGACTAACATGAAATATTTTTCTGTGTCTAAAGACTTTAAAAAATACAGTTCGATTGATGGCCTCTGGCATTTCTTGTGGTGAGATACTTTATAGATTATTAAAGAAGTTGACTCACATTGACTATTTATTTTAATTACAGTGGATATAAATTGTACAGTAAGCTACCCTCTCTTTTTCATTTACTAAATTCATACAGAAAATGCTGGCAAAGGTGGAATATGGAGGAGTCACAAAGTATATCAAAGTTCCATAAACTATGATTTTAACCAGTTTCTTCAAGAAGGTTTGTCTCCACATAGTTGTTGTTTAAAGATTGAACAGATGTTGAGGAGCTGTTGAGTCATTGTCAAGTCCAACAGGCAACAGTAGACCAATGATAATAGATAGTAGATAAATGAAATAAATTAATTAAGCTCTTTAGTCATTTTAATAATAAAATACTAAGTAGAATTTTGTTAATAAACATTAACATCATCTTTGCTTTCTTGAAGGGAGTAGTAATCACAGGGCTGTTTTAGCTAAATGGCAGCTGCAATAGCAATGAGGAATATTTTTTTCTAATGCTTTTGTTGATGTTCTTTGTCAAATATTTGTCTCCTAGGCTGGGATAGTGATATGTCTGCTATCCTGTTGCTGCTGCATCTCCTGCCCCCTACATCAAGAGGCCAGAAAAAAACACCCAAGATAAGCTCAGCACAGGCAGCCAACCATTTTCTTAGATTTCTTAAGGTAAGTACCATTAGCTTTTTGTCCTACCACCAGGGTTCCCACAGTCAAGAAATTCCCGTAAGAGTTTGAAATTAGAAAAATAGTTTTCCAGGCATGGTAATGGTTTGGAATTAACAGAATGTTTTGGAAAAACTTTGAATGTACATGCTATTTATTTCCTCCTCCTTTCCTCATTCTCTTCCTATCTTCTTCTCATCTTATTGCTCCCCTCTTGCTGCTAATCTAGTATGTTATGCTAAGTATATGCATGAATGTGTCATCCAAACTTCAGGAAGGAGCCAGCCTCACTACATTCCTGGATAAAGTTGATGCAAGACAGCCTTTTCTCCTCTGCACCGGAGAGCAAAAGAAGAAGATCCAAAGGTTCTGCATTGTTGTGGACCAGAAAGCCATCTGCTATTTAAAGCTCACTACGTCTTCAGTCTCTCCTATGATGAAGCGCTTTCCGCGTTCTACACTTTCATTCAAACGACAGTGTACAACATCGTTGTTGGAAATGCAAAGGAAACCCCACGAATCAAGGAACTGAGAGCACGACTACTGCAAGACCATTAAAAGGGAAACCAGTTCAGAAAGGTTGGAGCACAGTTAGAAAAACTGTCTGAGTATGTTCACATGTTTTGTTTGTAAAATGCACCACAAAAATTGTTCAGTCCTTTGTCAACATTTAGAATTTCAGCATGCATTATATCCAGCTAAAAACCTTTGTTTCAAATGTGGAGAGCAAGGATGTCCTTCATCATTTTGTACGTACAATGGCTTCAGAAAGCACTTGAACACTGTTCATAATGATGAACCAGTCAATACTAATCAGGAAGTGGCCACACAAAGACATTTTGAGTTTGGATTTTCTAGTGATCAGCCAACAACCTCTGCTGCATCCATGTTACAGGTTCCCCCTGTTATCACACAGAATGCAATTGAAAGAATGTGTAGTTCAATTGTTGCACACTTGCAAACCTCTGGTATCTCTCAAAGCACTGTCCAAACAATAGTTTGTTCAATGGAGGAAGTTATTAGTGATGTTCAACAGTTTCTTCTGAAACCAAAGAGTCAGAAATTCATAAGAAAATAGAGCACAGTTTAAATCAATTAGGTAATCCCTTTTCAACATTTAACACAGAGAGGAAGAGGCAAAGATATTATGAAGAAAAATGGGAAATAGTTGAGC